AAGGCCGCGGATCCAACGAAGCTCAGCACAAGCGTTTGCCATGGCTCGATATTCTGCTTCAGCCGATGAGCGTGACACGGTTGTTTGTTTCTTGGAACGCCATGAGATCGGCGAACCTCCAAGGAGGATGAAGTAGCCAGTAACGGATCTCCGTGTAAGGGGACAACTTGCCCAATCAGAGTCGGAGTAAGCGGTGAGAGCCAGATTGCTGTCACTGCGGAGGAGAATGCCTTGACCAGGATGTCCTTTAAGATAACGAAGAACACGGAGTGCGGCATTGAGATGATCCAAACGGGGAGCCTGCATAAACTGAGATAGCACATGAACAGAGAAACAAATATCCGGACGTGTCACGGTAAGGTATAATAAACGTCCAACTATGCGTCTGTACTTGGAAGGGTCACGAATCTCTGGACTTGTGGACAAAGCGAGATTGTGACCCGGTTGAATGGGGGTAGCTACGGGTTTGCACCCGATAAGGCCGGCTTCCTCAATGATATCCAAAGCATATTTTCTTTGATTCAATACCATTCCTTCCCTGGAGCGAGCGCATTCAATGCCCAAGAAATAAGAGACGGGGCCAAGATCTTTGAGGTTAAAACAATCATCAAGATACTGTGTGAAGGATCTGCATAAAGAGTCATTATTCCCTGCAACAAGAATATCATCGACATATACCAGAACAACCAACATATCTCTCCCTTTGCGAAAAACAAACATGGTGTGGTCTGCATGAGCTTGACGAAACCCATATTGACGCAGTGCTTGACTTAATTTTGAAAACCAATTGCGGGGGGACTGGCGCAGACCGTATAAGGACTTGCGAAGGCGACATACCTTCCCTGGGAACGCATGACCATAGCTGGGAGGAAGTTTCATGTATACTTTGTCTCGCAGATCGCCATGTAAAAAAGCATTATTGATGTCAAGTTGATGAACTTCCCAGTTGCGTGCCACGACCACAGATAGGAGGACACGAACGGTTACTAGCTTAGCAACTGGAGCAAAGGTTTCAGTATAGTCGGTTCCCCATTCCTGATGATTGCCGAGGACGACAAAACGGGCTTTGTCACGTTCCTTTGTACCATCAGATTTATACTTAGTACGAAACACCCATTGGCAACCCAGTGCTGATCGATGGGGGGGCAGATCCGTGATTTCCCAAGTGTTGTTACGCTCTAGCGCTGAAAGTTCTTGTGCCATGGCCTCCCGCCATGAGGTATGTTGGACCGCCTCCCGGAAATTTTTGGGTTCGGTTTGAGTATCAATAGCCCCAACAAATCCCTTATACCTGTCACATAACTTTTTAGTAGAAACAAAGTTAGTAATTAGATACCTTGTACCTGAAGAGGAAGACTGGACAGGGGAAGGCGATAACGAAGTGACGGAATGAGCTGAATAACAGATGAAGTCGTCGAAACGGGTAGGAGGGCGTCGTTGACGGGGGGCTGTGACGGGGTTATTTGTGGGCTGGGGTGGCACTGTTGGTACCGACTGTGAAGTACTGGTCGGTACCGTGGCTGTTTGAGAGGGGAGGGTGATGGTGGGTTGGTCGGGCAGAGACGCCGAAGGGGTGAAAGTGGGTGGGGGTTCCTCGGCAGGTGACAACGGTGTGGGGAAGTCGGAGGAGGAAGGGGAATTGATGGGTTGATTATGGGACGACGAGGGAAGCTTGAATGGGAATTGGGATTCGTCGAATGATATATCCCGGGTACGGAAGAAACGATGGTTTTCAAGATCATATACTCTCCACCCTTTTGTACCGAAAGGATAACCAACAAACATGCATTTGATACTTCGGGGTGAGAATTTGTTCGGTGGTTTGGATACGTGACGGACAAAACATAGGCATCCGAACACAAGTAGGTGACTCAAATCAGGTATTTTATTTGTGAGGATTTGGAGAGGGGATTTCCCGTCAAGGAGCTTGGTTGGGGTTCGATTGATAAGATAAACAGCAGTTTTGATGCATTCTCCCCAAAACTCTATTGGAAGAGATGCTTGGAACATGAGAGCACGGGCAACGTTTAGGATGTGTCTGTGTTTACGCTCGACCCGCCCATTTTGCTGTGGGGTTCCGACACAAGAAGTTTGAATACAGACCCCTAGGGACTCATAATATGTGCGAAGAGGGGTGTTTAAGAATTTTGTCCCATTGTCAGATCGGACTATTTTAATAGTTTTCTGGTACTGAGTTTGAATCATGACAAAAAAAAAATTGAGACAAGAGGTTACTTCACTTTTCTCTTTTATAAGATAAACCCAAACAGCTCGTGAATGATCATCAACAATAGTAAGGAAATAATGTGCCCCAGATGACAAACAAGGAGAATATGGACCCCATATATCACAATGTATTAAGTCAAAAATTGCGGCAGCTTTATTATGACTAATGGGAAATGACGAACGAGTTTGTTTGGATAGAAAACAAATATCACAACTTTGTAGTTTTTGAACAACAGAACTATTTTTATGAAGTGAAGATGTAACTTGTGGATACGGATGACCCAGACGCTGATGAAGAAGGTGAGGGTTGACACTGGTACGCTGAGGAAGACTCCGTTGCGCAGTTCACCCCGTCCAATCTCCGTCTGCGACAAAGGGTCCTGTATTACACAACTTTGATCAGTAAAAAGTACATGATAAGTATTTTGATGGATAAGTTTCCCAACAGATATCAAATGGCAATGCAAATTTGGCACGGATAACACAGTAGTGAGTAATAAAGTAGGGGAAAGGCAAACTTTCCCATGTTGGGTTGCCTCAATGCTAGAACCATCGGGAAGATTAATTTTACATGGCGGTATGGGTTCAATGTCAAACATATGAGACAAGTCACCCGTCATGTGGTGTGAAGCTCCGCTATCGATCAACCAATCCCGAGAAGTAAAAACCTTACCATTATACTGACTTGCATTGGATGATTCAAGCAATGACATGAGGCGGGCCATTTGATCGCTGAGATTAGGGTTTGACGTTTCGTCGGTTGCGGCGTAGGCTACGCTTGTATTGTTGCCGACGGCTGGTGTCCCTCGGCGGCCTCCTCCACGTCCTCCGGTGGTTGTTGCTCGGCCCCCAGCACTGCCTCCACGTCCGCCCCTACCTGCGGACGGTCCTCTATTGGCAGAGAGGCG